CGAGGCCGAGGCCGAGGCCGGGCCGTTGGTCTAGGGCAGGAGTAGCGCAGAGGCCGCGGGAAAACGTTATTGATGAAGGTAAAGTCAGCTGTTTTTAAAACGTGCTTTCCTACAGAAATGGGATTTGCGCGGTCTCGCTCCCTTGTTAACACGCGTTACAACGGCCAAGCGCAGCGGTGCCTGACGGAGGCGTGGAGCTGTCAAAGCTGTCGCCTTCCCGGACCCCCGAGGAAAGTCGGCCCCTACGTGTGAGGCGGGGTGCCAGGTCGGGGCCAGGCTGAGCCCGAGGCGGGGCAGGAGCCCGCGTGTCTCTCGGCCTTGGGGCTGGGCCGGCGGTGTGCAGGGCTTGGGGCAGCTGTAGCTCACAGCGCTGCTGAGTGAGGGCGCGGGAGAGGAGCTGGGGCGTTTGGGGAGAGCTTCTGCCTTGTGAAGGCAAACTAGTGGTTTTTGTAAGAAGGAGGTAAGAGCCGACAGAAAACACGTAACTAGCAGAAACGTGGTGGAGTGACAATTCTCATATGTAGAAACTCGTGTAGAAACTCACTGCTCACAGAAAAATGTTTTTAACACTAGCTTACACGTAAGAGTTACGTGACCTTAATGACAAATAAGGACTGTAGAAGATGAACTGCAAAATCAGCCAGATAAAAGAAACTAGGAGATTGCAGGAAAATTAATTAGTTTAATGCCATGAAAGTTAGAAGACTTAAACCCCTTATACTAAGGGATTTATGTCACCTACTGCAGTGATTTTATTTTGAGGATCTAAAAGCAATTCCACATTTATAGTATTTTTAGACAGGAAAATATGACTTTAATTTCAAAATAAAATTAACAAGGTGCCAGCGAGTGAAGTGACATAGAATGTCAGTAGCAGAATAAGGAAAACAAAGAGAAAATAATGATTTTATTTAAATTAGTAGCAGAACTCCTATTGATCTGTTATGTCAAGATTTATCTCAGGAATACTATTTCTAACTTCATAGCTACTAGGCACACCAGAAAAATAACCTAGGTTCAGGCCCAAAGCTGATTTCTAAGCGTACTTTACTTGTCCTACTTGAGTATATACAAAAAGCATTTCTTGTGTAATTGTACAAGCTAGTCAATAATACCATTGTGCTAAATGGTTCAATAGCAGTAATATCCATCAAACAACTGATAAATGTACAGAATTATTATTTTCTCAGGAAAAATGTCTTTTTATGAGAGTTCCAGATAAATGACTTTCCTCTTAAAATATGCTACCTTTGGCTTGGCATTCAGTTTTGATGGATGCCTGGACTTCACCTTGGTATTTGTTTAGCAGCAGGAGGCTGTTATCCCAAGAAAACACTCTATTCCTTTGACATTATCTTTTAATTAACATTTCTTTTTGTTCTGGCCTTTGGTGCACATGCTTCAGTATTAGTTCAGTGTATCTACCTTTTATTCCTTGTTACTGACTGCTTAATGCTTGGTGCTTAATTGGCATGTGAGTGTCACTTGGTTAATTAGTTACAAATATAACGTGGTGTTATTTCATTTTCATATAAATTGACTTTTAAAGTTGAATTAAAAGTAAATTGGCAAACTTGTTTCCTTATTTGTTGGATGTTGTAAATTGATTAATGGCAGAGCGCATAGAAAAAAACATGAAGATCCAGGCTATGACAGTTGCACCTCTCAAAGTGAAAAGTTTACTTACCTATTACTTTTTCCCTAAAAAAATCAAGTGACAGTGTCCTCTCGTTCATTCTGCTTAGCTGGGATGCTCATTGCCTTTGTTTTCCTTCTCTTGCGCCAGAGTAAGCTGGGTTTTTCTAACTTGCAGACGGGGCTCAAGTAATGCTGTATCCTAACAGGCTACCCAATAGTACCTTTCTCTTTCTCCATCAGTTGCCAAGGTGCGCTCTCTTGATGGCTCCCCAGGAAGCTGCTGTACATATTCAGATTAATGACTGTTCACTCTTGCTGTAGTCCGATTCTTTTTGGCTTCAGCATTAAGAGAAATACGATCAAGATGTATACTTAATTCAGAGTGGGGCACACTGTTTTGAAATATTATAAGATATAAAATATTTTCAGTGATTTCTCTGCATTCTACATGTATTTCTCATTTGGTCATTTTTTGATTGTTATTTTGTAATACTACAATAATTCCAAGGAGTTCCAGTTAAGGGCTTGGAATACCCTATGAGCCAGCTGTTAGCACACAGTCCTTACTCCAGAGAATTTACAACTCAATTGTGCAAAAAATTGCACTTAGTTGCATTATGGCAGTGAGCCTTATTGCTGTCAATTATACTACCAACAGGTTTTAAACAAATCGTATGGTGCATAGTGTTGTTGTTGAATCTGGTCTTTTTATGTAGGAAGGTAACAATTTCCTCATGAATTAGGCCCAGAATACGCATGAAAATGACCCTGATCAAATAATGACATTTTTGGCTCGCTAATCACTCTGAAAAAGTTTTTTAAATAAAATGGGGCTCAAATTTTTACATCATTGCAATATTTAAAATAACTTAAGTGAAATTTTAAAATAGAAGTCAGGTTATGCTGAAATTGTGTTTATTTAAAAATATATGTAAGTGAAATATTTTCTTTTAAAAAAATCAGACTCGGGAAACTTTTAAATTAACATGCATTCACAGAATGTATTGGAATAATTGCATCCATACTTCTTATTGAAAAATAGTTCTGTTGAGTTCTAGTCTTCAGTTTACAAATTAGAAGAGCACAGCAACAAACATAAGTCAGCAGCAAGTGTAGGAACGTGACCTAAGTCTCCTAGAATAAAAGTATGCTGTTATAACATGTAGAAAATGATCACAGACCATATAGAACATAGTCTTCTTTAAGTTTCTTGGTATCCTTCAAAAGTAGTCCCCAAATTCACAG